TTCATTTCTTTCAAAGCTCACTCCGAAATTCCATATACCGGGTACTTCTCGAGATATTCTGAAATCAATTTCAAAAATGACCTACTTTCTTTTACTCGACATTAGCTTGGGCCCCTGGTCATTCACGTGTAAACAGATGATGTTTAAAGTCCAGCGAAGAGTTGCAAAATTTTTCAACAATTCAAAGTTGATTTCTTACTCCAGATTGTAAGGTTAAGTCAGTAGTAATTCCTTTCGCGAAAAATTAATTTGAAAACATTTGCATCAACAACTGCACCGCCATGTTGATTAAGAATGTAAATGAAGCAATGGTAGAACAAATATTTTCCGGAACGCATTGTATACCTCATCGTCTCAAGCCATGGTCCGCATTAAATTAGCTCTCTCCTACCCATGGCTGCTTGATCACAAAAAGTGTCGTAATCTTGAATATTTACGCCTTTCTATTGTGACTCATATTCAGTCAGTGGCAAGTTTTGGTTCCATCGCAATCGAAATCAACAGCTGGCGTCAACAGTATACAAGAAATATTTCCTATACTGCGATTGGATATTGAAAGGTCGCGATAAAGTTCATCATCCGACTATACTTTACTCGCATTGGTCAATATTTTAATGAGCTACGAAGAATTCTCTCCTCGTTCAACCACGGCCTGAATGGGAGAGGAGCATACATTTTGGCCGTGGTTTGCGACGATGTGTATACCTTTCAATTTTCAAAACATTTAGACCGCTAAAATGTTGTTTGTGACTTAGTAATATCAAATGATCAAATTAGAGAAAACCTTGTAAAGCTCGAATGCAAATGAACAAATATTTATTGAGTTTAGAATAAATTCCGGGAAACATTTGTCCCATCGTTCCCGCTTTACAATTAGTGTAGCTCTTCTAAGGCCCAAGCTGATGTCGAGTAAAAAAATTAAGGTCAATTTTGGAATTGATTTCTGAATATCTCGAGAAAGTATAAGGAATTACGGGATGAACTTTGGTAGTAATGAAGATTGTTTATATTTGAATTGATATGGATAGAAAGTAACATTGTAAGGCATTTGTTTTAAAAGAATTTTATTGGCGAAAGAAGTTACCCTACCAAAAGAGTTTCATACCTTTATTTTTTTTTTCAACACCTTAATTTTTTTTCTAAGCGATCTAAAGGCCTGTGATCAAATTTGTTTATTATCTGTCTTTGGTGTTTGTTGTCATTACAAATAATATTCACATTTTCTTTCACTGAGCTAGTTTCAACTAAACTTGGCACATGCATGTACAATCCTTGGGCGAGGGAAAACCAAGTTTCTTACTTCCAAGGGGAGATAATTAAGAAATAGTCAATGAAAATTGTGGGATCCTTAAAAAATCTTCTCAAAAAAACATGAGCCACAAAAAATGAACCTTATTGATATAAAGTACTATAGATTCAAGTTTTACTTAATGGGAATGCATAGAAAAAAGAAATAAAATCTGTAAATTTAAAGATATATATGAAATTTACATTTATAAACATGTATTTTGCATGTAAAATGTGTGGAAATTTAAGGCATCTAAAACACCATTACAGGGACATTTAATTTGTTTCCACACACCGTTGCAATTACGAGACTATATATCTTTCAAAAAATAATGATTCATTGCTTAAACATATCATCTCATATGTTAGTTAAAATCATCCCAAATGGAAAGGGGCACAATAAAATGGGCGAAGTCTTGGATTAAAATAAGTAAATTGTTTTATTTAGACACTTTTTCTCCAGATAAATCTGTATTGGTACCAAAGGATTATGGTATTATCTGGATGTGTAAATGTTAGTGAAAAGTATGTCATGAAAATTATTTCTACCGGGGGTACATGCAATATTGTGTCTGACTGCAAACTTTTTCTTTTATCATTTTTGTATGTAGTGAAGCTTGCATGCAACCACTGACTTGTAAAATGTATTGCATTTTGTGATCAAATGAATCATAAAGGTTTAGGAATGTGGAAGTCCCAATAACATATAGCTGAGTTTTCAAAATTCTACTGTATCAAAATAAAACATTGCTATGTATAATATTTTACATGTATTATGATACATATTGATCTTTTCAGAGAAGAAACATCAATTATTAAGAAGCAGAAAACATCATCCTCAATCTCGTTAGACACAGACCAACATTCATCATCAACTGCAACATGTGCCATTGACACTTCAACAGATATGCCATCTGAAGAGCATGACTATTGTCGCCAAGCACCATCTCTTGAAGAAGATCTTGAGGTAATACACGGATCATGTAGTAGTTCCTTTGATCTTGGGTGCATGTTAACTTCAGCTCACACCTGAGCTGAAAACTAAGGTGAGCTTTTCTGGTCACCCGTTGTCCGTCGTCCCTCTGTCTGTCTGTTAACTTTTCGCATTTTCAACTTCTTCTCATGAACCACAGGGCCAATTTTAACAAAACTTGGTACAAAGCATCCTTGGGCAAAGGAAAATTAAATTTTTAATTTGAAGGGCCAAATCTCCTTCTGAGGGGAGATAATCAAGAAAAGACAAAAATAGGGCGGGGTCATTTATAAATCTTCCCAAGAACCATTGGGCCAGAAAAGCTGAAACTGATGTGAAAGCATCCTGGGGTAGTGTAGATTCTAAATTAATCAAATCATGACCCCCCAGGTTAGGGTGGGGCCACAATAGGGAATCCTAGTTTTACATTGAAATATGAAGGAAAAAATTTTTTAAAAATCTTCTCAAGAACCATTAGGTCAGAAAAGCTAAAACTTGTATGTGGAAGCATCCAGCTGGAGCAGTGTAGATTCTAAATTAACCCCCGGGGATAGGATGGGGCAATAATAGGGTATCCAAGTTTTAAACAATAGACAGTAGAAGGGGGAAATGTGTCAAAGAACACAATGGACCAAATTACTCAGGTGAGTGATGTGGCCCATGGGCCTTTTGTTTATGAAAACAACAATGGAAATCTTATCAGTTAACACTGTTTAAAAGCAAACCACGTGTACAAATTTTTTAGCAGCATCTGTTCCATCAAAGAAACATCCAATGATGTGCATTCAATAATATAATTAATGTTTCATCATGTAAATAATACTGTATTCAGTTGCTCATACAAATTTAAATAAAAGAAGAAAATGTCTCTGTGATATTGTGGTAATGTTGGTATTAATTTGGAATAGATAAACCATGTGCATATATCACTGTGTAATACATGTACTATATTGCAGGCCATGAAGATACACATTTCTAAACTAGAAGAAAGGGTACAGCACCTTGAGAAGAAAGTAGAGAAGTTCGGAATTGAAAGATTTTCCAAAGATCCAAATTTGATAAATTTTTACACTGGTTTTTCTACTTATGATATTTTTTGTGCTGTATATAATGTTGTTGAGCCAACAGCCTCAAATATGATCAGGTGGTCACAAGTTCAGAGAAATAAGAACATTGTGTGTAATCCTTTTAGAGAAGAGTCTTTGTCAATTGTAGATCAATTTTTTATGTTTTTATGTAGAATTTGACAAGGTTTTTTTGAAGAAGATTTAGCACAACGTTTTTGTATGTCTCAAAGCACTGTTAGTTGTATTATTATTACTTGGAGTAATTACTTGTATTGTATTTTAGGATGTTTAACCATATGGCCAGATTTAGATATTGTTAAACAGAATATGCCAGAATGTTTTAAGACTACTTATCCCAATACACGAGTTATTTTGGATTGTACAGAAATACGTGTGCAGACTCCAAGTGCCAAAGTACTTAACTCTCAGTCATATTCAAATTACAAGTCTCATACTACCTTTAAAGGCTTGATTGGTATAACCCCTCATGGTGCTGTATGTTTTGTTAGCAGATTATTTACTGGCAATATTTCTGATAAAGATGTAACACAAAGAAGTGGTATACTTGATCTATTAGAACAAGGTGATGATGTGATGGTTGACAAAGGTTTTTTAATCCAAGATTTACTTGACACTGTTGGTGCACACTTGATTATTCAACCTTTTTTAGGAAATAAAGTTAAATTTAGTAAGGATGAAGTTACTAAAACTCAGCAAATAGCAAGACTAAGAATTCATGTAGAAAGAGCTATCAGAAGGTGTAAAGAGTACCATATTTTTGATAATGTTCTGCCATTGTCTGTTGCTGGGACTGTAAACCAGATTTGGTCTGTGTGTTGTTTATTAACAAATTTTAAAGAAAAGTTATTTTGACAGTTATATTTTCAATTGTTTGATACTGTTTATGTGTGTGGCATGTAAATGAACATCATCTGCATATTTGATATACCAGACATGTACAAGTGAGAGGGTACACATACCTGTATATATTCAAAACAGAAATATGGCTTTAGTGCACAACACTTTTTTCCTTTGCATGCTTTGGGAAATTGATTTTTCTTTGTAAATTTTCATTGATATGTTTTCAAGTGATATAGATCTTTTTGGAAAAACATTAATACCATGAGATTTTATCAAGGATTGGGTAACTTTGAAAATCTAATACAGATATTTTAAAATTTGATTTAAGTACAAGAATTTTTAAATTATACTGTATATGCAATGCAATCATAATTACTTTTGGTAATCAACGCAATTGCAATTTTATTAAAATTTATGTTGCATAATTATTTTTTGTATGAACATAAATGACAACTTTTTTGAAAAGGACAAGGCTTTGAACAAATTTGGATTTGAACAAACTTGAATCTACACTACATAAGGAAGCTTTTGCCTCTTATGGCTATTAAAGTGGGGTCTTGTTTTTAGTAGAAAAAAATAATGATGCCAAATTTTCATTCTTTCCCAATCATCTCCCCATTACATACATGTATAGAGAGAATGGGGTACTTCATTTAAAATTTTAACAGATGACAGACCCTCTTTAATCAGAAAAAAGCTTATTTAAACTTTTGGATTAACAAAACAAAGAAACCAAACAAACAAAAATAATAGCATGCATGTACTCACATGTACAATTTTTTTCTTTTTATGATCCATCATAGATGTTATTTTCAGTATCGAACACATTTTGGTAAAAAGCAATTGAAGTAAAATATGTCAAGTTTCTGTTTTATTTCCTGCCACTTTCCTGGTAGACAGTTAATTCTTTCCAGATGGTAGTCATCTTTACACCAAATGAACAAATCGCACCACAAAGCACCGGTCAAACCCATTTGACCCATTATCTGATAATAATATTCATGGGAAGATTTTAGTTTGTAGCTGTTATTCACAAGAGTTAAATATTTTAAATTTGTGATGGAATCTGAATTTGGACATTTAATTTCTAAGAGTCCATACATAGGAACAGAGTTGGGGTCTATGACTTTCCTGTCAGGAGAAGTTCCCAAATAAAAACATGAGGGATTGATGACTAAGCCTGCTTTAAACACATTATTTCCTGTTATAGTGGCGTATGCTTCTGCTGCCTCCTGTTCGTGTTCAAGTCCAAATTTCATTGCTGCTGTTTGAATTTTGTTACTTTTTAATAATGCGTCAACCGAAGTTTCGAAATCTTTTTTCCGTTAACAAACTCTTTTAAATTTAGATGAAGTAATTCTGTGTTTTCTTGCTGAATTCCAGTAGGGATTTTTAGACTGTTCAATTGTATTTTGTTCAATGTCATCAGAATCACTTTTTGACACGGCAAGTCCATCATAAAAATTTTGTTCACCCAGATTTAGAGCTGTATTAAAAGTTTGATCAAGAATAGGTAAATAATATCCAGGAAAAGTAGGAAACGCAGGATTGTTTATAATTGTATCGTTACTTTCGTCAATTTTCTTTTTCTGATAAGAAAGAAGGGAACCTTTGGGCACTGGTCCAACTTTTGATTCAATGGTCTCAATGGAATTAATTTTGGAGGAAGGTGGCAGTATGGTTTTAAATTGAGCATTTGTTGCCATTATATTTTGATTGAGAGATTCCAAAATGTTCTGATATGGTATAGGTTGCTGTATTGGACAATAAAATTTTGATTTCACACCATCTGTTCTTTTTATTTTTTTACAGGTAGTTTTCTGAATATGTACATCCTCAACTGCTTCAGGACAGATACCCTCTAACCGTTGGGGTATATGCCATGTTTGAGGCATTGATGTCTTAGATTTGACACATGGCACTGTCTTTAAATCAAGCTTTTGATAGTGGGCTAATGTGTACATAAGGCCTAAAATATGGCTGCAATGTCCAGAGCCTGCTTTACATGTGCAGTTTGAACTTTCAACATCAGTACAAGCTGCAGCTTTTAGGGCAATTTGTAAATTATGTGGGGGATCATTTTTCCTCATAGAAGGAAAGCACTTGGCTCTAATACAAGCACCAGTGCCCCCTGATGTACATGGTCTCACTGAAACAATAGAAGAAGCTTACTTAGCTTCCTTGTAAATGAAAATTGATAAGGAAACAGAAATAAAAACAACCAAGGACAAAATGAAACTGATTTCAAGAAATGAAAAGAAACTTGGACAAATGATATGAAATAAAAATGAATAAAAGAGATTGAAAACCAGGTTGGGATTTATTTGCTACATAAGCAGGAAAGCAAAAGATTCAGATGATCATTTTTTTAATTTATACATGTATTGAATGTAAATTTAAGCTATACGAAGACTTGAAATTGAAATTGCCAGATTTCTTGGTATATAACGTTACACCTCTACAGGACTTTGACATTTGTGAATATGGTAGTGTGGAACATGTTACATGTACATATTGTCTAGGTTTTTAAAGAGGAAAAAAAATGGGGGGAAAAATATCCCTGATGCAGTGAATAAATTCTAAATTAATTGTTGTCTCTGGCCTCTTCAACATACATTTTCCAAAGGATTGCTTCTTTAAATCTGATTGTATATTCACTTTATATCTTAGTATGCACAATGAAAATATTGAAATCTATTGATCTAAATCATAATCAAAGCTTGTCTTTCATTCTTTGAAAGTATGTAGCACATGTATATACATGTGTGCATTATTCAATCTGATTAATAGTACACCTGTACATGTGCAGGCATTGAAAATGCAATTGCAACTACATGTCTAAATTTATACACAATAATATTTATTACATGTAATTTAAATGAAGCATTCCAACCAATACTAAAACCAAGACATCACGTACCTCGCAACAATTAAGGTTGATAAATAAAAGGTTAAGAATCCTAAAATTTGAAATGTGTTTGTATATGTGTACATGTATTTGAATTTAGTTTATAGTACCCCCCGGTAAGCATTTTCATGTAGTAACCATCAAATTAAAGTGCTGTATTAGTATATATGCATACCAAATGTTAAAACAGTGCTTTGTTTACATTTAAAATTCCATGTTCTATTAATGAAATGCCTTGCAAATTTCAAAAGGAAAAAATCTATCAAAATACAGGAATATCAAGACATATAAATAATAATTAAACCCCCCCCAAAAAAAAAAAGGAAGAAAGAAAAGAAAACAAAGACATATATCAAATGAAAATAGTTTAAATTTATTTATTAACAAAATAAAAAAGTAATGTGTTTATAAATGACACAAGGTAAATAATCACAGCATCGATAACGTCTACGTTAAATGGACTTCATTCTTTGATAACTATCTAAGCCACGCCGACTTTAGTGCACGTACATTTCACATAACGTGGACATAAATTTCTTAATTTATATTATTTTTTTCCTTAAAAATATAACTAAATGTATGTATTCTCTACTTGTGGTGAATATTTATTGTCTTCCATTCAATGAATTTCAGTAATAATGACAGATATCAACGTAAAGGATTATATGAATGTTGTCCGATGGTTCATCGTAAAATTGTAAACAAACCTTCAATATCATGAACATATCCTTCAGCAAAATTGCTGTATCCTCTTTTGAGAGATTTATTCGGGATTTTAGACGTGGTAGACCATGCCGATATTACATCGTCGGTTCTCCTTGGTACGCTTGCGAGAGAGCGCGTCCAAGCTGGATGACCTTCGCCGCACTTCGCCATTTTCTCGTAGTGAAGGACGCTAGTTTGTCAGGTCAGCCTCGGTTTCTTATTTTAATGGCGGGCGCATGAATAGAGTCTATTAACGTGCAACGTATTAACTGCTTGGGTGAAGGTTTGCGCAGATACCACTCTGCCTATCCTGAAAGCATGATTCAGCTGCATTTTAATGGTACATGTATGTATGCAATAACAAATTTACAAATTATGAAAATCAAATTGTTTATATTTTTTTCTTTTAATTTTTTTTTGGGGGGGGGTGCCTCCACTTCCTCCACCAACTCCTCACCTTTTTATTTTTAACACACTTAAATTTTAAACATTACACCTTTTTTATCTTGTACACATTTTAATTTTTATTTCATACATGGTACACTAAATTTGTTTCTATTTTTAATCACCAGTAACTACAACCCGGTTGATCGGGATCGGTATTCACTAATTTATTAACCCTTGAACACAGTGATAGTGGCATTTTTGGTTCAAGTTGATACCTTTTCTAATCATGCTTAAATAACAATTCTTTTTTTGTTTTTTACACTTGTAATGCAATTCGATGGCGAACCATGGCTTGTTTTTTTTTCTCTGGTTTATTGACTTTTTATGCTGTTTATAGTACTCGGATTTTTCTTTCATTTTCTTCAATGCACCGAGTGACTGGGATTTTTTTTTTCGAGAGGAGCACCGACAGCAGCCAGTGTGTTACAAAAAGCCATATCTACACCATTGTTTGACTTTAATATAGCTGAAAGGCACGGGATTTCGCATTTCGTGAGTATGTTTTTATTTTTTTTTTTTTGGTAGACTTAGAGAGATAGTTCTGTTTACTGACTCGCAATTATTTGTTGTTGAATTGAATTTCATTTCGTTTAATGCACAAACTGACAGCTTCATTTCAAGCAGTGACTCAAGGATTCACTTTTCTACTGTGTACTACATTTTAGTGCACCAGATTTTAAACCAGGTCCAACTTGTACCACCAACTCGTTATTTTGCCACCCCCACAAAGAGTTAAGCTCCACCTACATGAATCACCACAACTTCCTATGTAACACTTTAGAACCTTGTCAGTATTTCTCGGTAAGGAGTTTGATATTTTTTTTAGGTCACCATTGTACTTTTTCAAGAGAGCTTTTAAAATACCGCTACATCTTTCTTTAATTTCAAAGGCCAACATTTTTGTAGCTCTCTGCTTTTTGAACTTCTGTGTTTGCGAGGAACATTTCATCGGTAAAATTTGCGCGGGTATGTTAAGGAAGCTTATAAGTAATTTCTCTGTAAATTAGACTTTTAAAATAAAATTAAGTTTAATAAATTTCCAAAACCGCTGATACACATAAACTGTTGTTTACTATTGCATACAGATATAAGAGTGTCTGACACAAAGACGTGCACCACCGCCACGGGATCACATGACTTCTATTAATAGCGAAATTTTCCTTAATAAAAAAGCAACAGAACAACAATACCCCAGAGTTTGATAATTTCTTTGAGTTCATAATATAGTTGAAAAACGTCTTTTTTGCCTAAAAAGTGCTGCTAGAATCCCACTGTCCTGTCAGTAAAATAATTATTCCACACATTCGTACGAAACCTTACCCTTTGTTTTGAATTTTATACGTATTAAGCGGGATTTCTTATAAAATCTTGCTTAACTCAGGATTCTAGTAGCACTTTCCAAGTTTGTCAGAAGGCAAACTTTCGATCTGTACAAATCTTATGTTTTGAAATGTCCAGCTTATTGTTGTTCTTTTGCATTATTTTTGTCACGAATAACAGAGGAAAGGCCGACCGGGATAAGTATATAGCTGACTTTCTCTGAAAGAGAATATAATCGATGAAGATGAATTAGCATACCTGTTTAATTAATTGAACTCCATATGAATTCTACATCATATTCACGATATTTCCTTTTAAACTCCATTTTACGTATCTTTGTACATGCCAAATTTTCTTAACACGGCATGATCAATTCCCAAGTTACTTGATGTACACATATGACGTCATCAGTGGTATATTTTAATTAAAATGACAGATACAGCGTAACAAAATACAATCTCTTTATTTTTGTTAATGTTTACACGTTTCTATTCATTTTCTAGAGTTAAATTACATCTCTAAATACCAATATTACGAAAACGTGTGTTCTAAAATGACGTCATTTCACCTACTATGACGTCATAATGCAGCACTGATTTAGTCAAGGTAGAATATTTTGTATGTTTTCTTATTACCCCTGCGTGCCTTAACACCATGTCAAAATTGGCTTTGACCCCTATGAACTCTATCGGCGAGTCGATTTGTTCTCAATAGGGGAGATAAAAAGTCTTGTATTACTTTTTCTACTCGTTGCATCACCATCAGTGTTTACGTATTGTACCAACATATTTTTTTACTTAGTTTTTCACTTATTTTATAGCCTAACTTTTTTTTGAGACAGAGGCTCGACAGGATTTTTATTCGCTGTATAACAAAAAT